TCATCACGGAGCCTGATGTGGTGAAACTCGTACCAAAGGGTAAGGACATTTCGGGTTTGTCATTTATCTCGTTCAAAATTGGCTTCGACCCGGAGTTGAAGAACGTGGCATTGGATCCCTCAACATGGCCAGAAGGTATCCTGTTCAGGGAATTTAAAGACTATGGCTCCTCAACTTTTCGGAAGCCAAATTTGGAAGCTTAATCAACGTCCTCACAACCTGACGAGTACTAACCGGCAATCTTCGGGACGCACTGAAAAAAGCCTCATGGAAGTCCCGGAACCAGTCAAAGCAGTCGTGATTTGCAGTAACAGTTCCTGTCCTAGCCGTCCCGGACCTGCTTTTGACATCGGTGATGGGATCTTCCAACTCGCTACTCCAGGCAAGTACCAATATGTTAAGAACCCTACCGTGCCTGATGCTTCACTGTGTTTTAGCCATACCGATGCCAACGTCTTTGCTGCCCTACGCTCTACTGATTCCACAATCTTGGAATACACACCACAAAGCATCTTGGAAGCCCCCGAGCCCTCCGACCCAGTCGAGCCTGCAACGCCAACCTCCACACTTTCACTCTCCGGTGTATCCTGCCATCAAAGTCGTCTCGGCCCTGCGGTCGGAAATGGTGAGGGGGTCTTCCAATCGGCGTTGCCAGGCAAGTACTTCGATTCGACGTTCCATCCGCCTCCTGATAGTTTCGTGGTTTCCAGCTCATTATCCAGCGATGTCAGCAACATGTACATACCCTCGCAGCCAAATTGATCCTATCTTCACCATTTACTACCAAAACGTAAGAGGTTTACGAACGAAGACAACCGAGCTCCGCTTAATGCTTTCAACATGCGACTACGACGTTCTGGTTCTCACCGAAACCTGGCTTCGAGCGGACATTCAGGACTGTGAGCTATCGTCAGATTATCATTTCTTCCGCTGCGACCGTAATCGAGCTACCAGTCAGCTTTCCAGAGGTGGCGGTGTACTTATTGCGATAAAATCCAAGCATTCATGCACATCAGTTTCGCTCGAGATTTGCGACCGTCTGCAGGACCGCTCGCTATTCATCACCGGAATCTATCTCCGTTCTCTCTCCAGCCCGGATTTATACACGTCTCACACTACTGCACAACAGACTATCTATGAGAGATCTTCGAACGCCGATATCATCTTGGCAATGGGCGACTACAACCTTCCGTTTCTGAGTTGGACTTTCGACGAGGACGTGAACGGTTTTTTACCATCAAACGCGTCCACTGAACAGGAACTGGCTCTCACGGAACCGATGCTCGCTAGCGGGCTAATCCAAGTCAATTCACTGTCTAATTTGAATGGAAGACTGCTTGACTTAGCCTTCATCAGTGATCCGGATAACATTAACCTTCTTGAGCCTTCGGTCCCTCTACTGGATATCGATCATCATCATAAGCCATTCATCTTACTACTTGATGCCGACTGCAATCCGCCCATGATATCGGACTGTGATTCGTATCCACCTGAATTGGATTTCAGGCACTGCGATTTCGGCTCGTTGAATAATGAAGTGTCCACTATCAATTGGCAACAGATTCTGTATGGTGTTTCTGTCAACGCTATTGCTGACCAATTCTACGACAATCTGTATGAAACACTCTATGCGCGAGTTCCTCTCCGGAGGCGTGTTACGAGGTTAACCTCAGTGCAACCCTGGTGGAGCCCTGAGCTACGTAATTTGCGGAACGTATTGTGTAAGTCGCGCAAAGGCTATTTCAGTACCAGAACCAACGAGAGCAAAAATAGTCTCCGATTAATCGAAACGAGATACAACGGACTGTTGAAGTCTAGCCATGGAGAGAACGTCCAGCGAACACAAGCGTATCTGAAGCAGCACCCATCGGCGTTTTGGAAGTTCGTGAAATCACAACGGTCTGGTAATCGTATTCCGGACATAGTTGAGTTTAACGGGATCGCTGCTAACTCCCCTGTTGCTAACTTGTTTGCGAGCTTCTTCCAATCAGTTTACAAGACAAATTCACCACCTCTAAATCCTTCAAGTTTCGATCGCATCCACGAGTACAACCTGAATATCCCAACGTTGCGCTTCTCACCGGACGACGTTATGAAAGCCTTAGATGGTATTCCCCCATCTCTGCTCAAATATTGCGCACGCTCACTCGTTTCTCCGATCTCCTGCATATTCAACCGTTCGCTGAGCGAAAGATCATTTCCCAATGTTTGGAAGACAGCTTCAATTGTGCCAATTCATAAAGCGGGTAATCGAAACCGAGCTGAAAACTACCGTGGAATATCAATTCTCTGTTGCATTAGCAAGGTCTTTGAAACCTTAGTGCACAATGCTCTGTACAATGTGGTTCATCCTATAATATTCGGAGTTCCAGCATGGGTTTGTCCAGCACCGCTCTACTAAAGGGTGATACGGTCAAAATTTGGTCAAGGGAAAACGCGTGTAAATCGGTGAAATCGTTTATTTAAAAAAATCAAATTAAATTTCTTTTTCAAGTTCAATTAGTATAAAATTCAGGAAAAATATTCAGTTAGGCTTCCGCTTTTCCAAATCCGAATTGCCGGGCCTTACGCTTGACCCCTGCCATCAGATTTTGTACAGCCACCTTGTCCACCTTCTTCGCCGCAGAAAGCCAGTTTGCCTTGAACTGCTGCTCGCCCTTAGCAGTTTTTTTGGTCTTCTTTAGGTTCCGCTTGACAATAGCCCAGTATTTCTCAATTGGGCGGAGCTCTGGCGTGTTGGGAGGGTTCTTGTCCTTGGGAACCACCTGCACGTTGTTGGCGGCGTACCACTCCATGGCCTTTTTACCGTAATGGCAAGATGCCAAATCCGGCCAAAACAGTACGGAACAACCGTGTTTCTTCAGGAAAGGCAGCAGACGTTTATTCAAACACTCTTTCACGTAAATTTCTTGGTTGACAGTCCCGGAAGCTATGAAAATGCTGCTTTTCAAGCCACAGGTACAGATGGCTTGCCAAACCAGATATTTCTTTGCGAACTTTGACAGTTTCATGTGCTTGAAAACATCTGCTACCTTTCCCCTTCCTTTTGCCGTATAAAACTCCTGTCCCGGAAGCTGCTTGTAGTCGGCTTTGACGTAGGTTTCGTCGTCCATTACCACGCAGTCAAACTTCGTCAGCATCGTCGTGTACAGCCTCCGGGATCGCGCTTTGGCCGTCGTATTTTGTTTATCATCGCGATTTGGAGTCACTACCTTCTTGTAAGTCGATAGTCCGGCTCGTTTTTTGGCTCGATGCACGGTTGTAGACGATACACCCAGCTTATTTGCGGCATCTCGGAGAGAGAGGTTAGGGTTTCGCTTGAAACTACCGGCAACTCTCTTTGTCGTCTCAGCGGCTTCCGGTTTTCGATTTCCCCCCGATCCAGACTTCCTGGCTGTCGACAAACGTTCCCCAAACACTTTAATTACATTTGTAACGGTTGATTTGGCAACTTTTAGCGATTTTGCCAACTTTGCGTGCGAGTAGCTCGGATTTTCGCGATGCGCGAGCAAAATTTTGATACGCTGCTTTTCTTGCTTGGACGGCATTTTGACAACTGAAGAGTGAATTCCAAAATCAAAATAGGAGCAACATTCTACACACACACACCTTCAAAATGAGGGGTGTTCAGGTTTTTTAAATGCAAAATTGAAAGAAATACGTCAAGTTGATATTGACCAAATTTTGACCGTATCACCCTTTACGATCCATATTTGTCGTATTTAAGTGAAGGTAATTGAATCGTTGCGAACTCGAAGTTGAAAAATTTCTTCGCGATTACGTGGTAATCGTCTCCAACCACGTAGCACTGACGAATGAAATATGTTACTGAGCAACTGAGCGAGTCCTTCTACATGAAGAACTTTGGAAAAGCAAGCAGCTTTATCGGATTCCAGATAACACGTGGTAAGCCGTGTACTGAGCTGGTGCTGCCGATCGATATTTGCCATGAAAAAGTACTATCCTCAATCGAATTGTCATTAGTTACGTTCCAAAATGGCAACCTAAATGCTAAACGATTGTAGTCTAATTCACATTTAAACTACCTCCAGTCCAGTGATTGCACCTAAAACCCCTTTCCCGAATGAAACAACAAATCCCAAACAAGCCAGGGTACCATTACTCAAAATTAATTATGCACATAATCACACGACAGGCCTGAATTATTCAATTACTAATTAAAACAATTTTCCAAACGAGATTTAGACAAATTGTAGTTCCAAGAGTGGTGTATCGTGTTTGCAATGTACACACCCACGCTAAGCCATCTACAGCCGGCCATTATTTACTATATCCTAGCGCTGGGAATCATCATCCCTCAGTCCGTCGTTTGTGTACCCCTCCCTTGCTCGACCACAAAACGATATGATAAAGTTTTACGCTTAGGATCCAACTCGTCCTCGTCCACCTCGAAATCCCATCAACTAGTCCGGCTGTGATATACGATGTGATGCGGTTTGCCTGCTGGCTAATTCAGTTCGACGTCGTCGTCGCGTCGTTGCGTCGACCGCAAAGCGCAACGCCCAAACAGAAAATCAACGTTCCGACTATGATGGCTGCGGCACGGGGAGGGGCGGCCGTGGTGGTGTATGGTAATTATTCAGATTAACATTTGCACATTCATCTCAATTATAGTGCCTAGGGGGTCCATGGGAACATTTCCACACCTGCCTTCCCTGCGGTCCGTGTAGGTAGCGAGTCTAGTCCTGCCTCCGCCCTCGAGCGAGTAGTTCACAAAACATACATTCAGCATAACTAGTATTAGATAAGAGATTTAAACAAGCTCCTGGAATCATCGTTTAACGCACTGGTGTTGATTCCGGGATATGCATAAATGTACAACAACACACCACCGGCATTGCCGGGCATGAATTTCAATTTGATACTGTTTCAACGCGATGAATCAATGTAGCAGAACACACGTGATTGTGCTTTGGTGGTTTCAGAATTATATTCGTTTACTAAACACATGTCTATTCAATTTTGGTTTCCCCTTGCAGGCTTCTTCTATTGGATAGAGATCGTCAATCTGGAAGAATGCGCAGCACGGCGTCACCCCCACCCACCTATCGATCCAACGTCGGGAGCCTTCTGAGGTAAGTGCCCAGCACACTGATGGTAGCATTTTACGTTCTCTTTATTGGTTTGGTGTGAATACGGCAAGATGGATGGTGCCTGTCCGGAAAAAAAGATTGATTATCGCCGGAAACTAGGGAACTACAGAGCTGGAAAAATGAGGTCTTTGTGAGATAATTTTTTGGATGGACTGATCGGCTGTTGTATTATTGGAAATGCTGACATCAGAATAATGGAACCAAGATTCACCCGTAGAGTCTATGATAATATGCTAATCTTTCTGGTTGCATATCGTAGTCAGCAGTATCTTAATGTGCCAAACAAGGTTAGCCCCATCCGGTCTTGCAATCGTCAGCGGCCTGTTATCAGACTTCTTGCAATGATTTTTGTGTTCAACCAATCGACTCATAATGACGTCCCCTTGCCTTTCGGTTTTCATTTCCAGAATCCCCCTCACCTCGCGGTACAACACAAATAATGCCAACGGTGCCACAAGCGGTGGCAGCAGTACCAGCATTTTCGGTGGCATCAGTGGCATCATCAGCGGTGCCATGGGCAGCAGTACCAACAGCATCAACGGAATAGCTACGCATTCGCCTCCTCCCACCGGCGCCGATCTTGCCACATCAACGACGACGCTGCTGTCGGATCCAACTGGTGCACCGCCGCCAACTTATCGCACCATTGACCGCAGGAATTCATCATCGTCCTTGACGGCGGCCACGACGGGTGACCATCAGGTGCAGATTCAGCATCCGCTACAAACATCGACGGCGACGACACCTACTGGTGACAGCAGCGCTGTCGAAGGTGATGTCAACCTAATAAATGATGATCAAATTGTACCCATCAAGACCGGAACGGGGGCGACCGGACGGACGCCTTCGATTATTAAAATAGACGACGGTAAATCAACAGCTGCCACCGGAACGGCGACGATCCAGCCGGATCCGACGCCACATAAACAACGAAATTCAATTACACGGGAAATAATTGAAAGCGATAGTAATAAAGCCAGCGAAAACGTTGCAAACAAGGACTTAGTTACGATTGTTACCATTTCCGGTTCGCTCGAGCAGCAGCAACAACATTTGAATAAATCCGTGTACGGTAGCTCTGCGGGCAAAGTGACCACCAAAACTGGCGGTGCAAAAGGCGGTGCATCCCAAGGGAACAGGAAAGCGTCGTCCGGACATCTATAGTCGAAGGGGAAGACGCGGTGGGATGAAAATTTGACCGTACCACGCCGGGATGATCCGGTTGCTTTGGCAGAACACACGTACACAGATGTATATTGATATAACGACATTAATTCACAAACACATACACACACACACACAAAAGGAAAACCTACGCCATGGAAGTCTAGTTTTGCTACGAATATATATTTTTTATGATGCTTTGGAGTCGGAACGGGATGGTTATTGTGTGTTTGAGTTTTTTTTTTCTGGCGTCGAAAGTTCGGGTGAATAGAAATTGTTATTTGGTAGATGGATCTCCAATATTGTAACGGAATTTGGATCGACCTAGTTCTTCTAACGTTCGGAATAGTGCGTTTCCTGCGATTTCTAAATGGGTTAGTGTCACGTGGAGGTCGTTCATTCAGACAGTGAGATGTATGACCTAGGTTCAATGCACTCAAAGCACTTTTACAGCAAATTCTCATTGGATTGAATGATATTTAAATTAAAAAGTAGAAGGGTCTGTGCCTAGGGGTACGAACCAAAGCTTGACGTAGGAACGCCAGTAGACGAAACAAATGTGAAGAGCATTTAGTTCTTTTAATTGATCGATCATCTATTATCTTAACTCTATCCGTTTTTGAATTGTAGGCTTACCAAATTTGTAGTATTTTTTTTTCAAAGAGAAAGTCGATGAAGAGAATCGATCAAAATCACTTTCACCCCTGCTTCCAAGTTTCGTTACAAGATTACAACTCTGGAGAGCATTTTGTGTGGTCGTTAGGGGGTGTGTAGTTCTGAATATGGACAAACAGGCACAGATAAATTCTATTACAACTCTTACTGTAATAAGCTTGTTGGCCCTGAAATGGGCCGTTTTGTTTCAAAAGTTGGTGATGATTTAATCTCCGAAACCGTACAGAGTGCGTCTGTCGCCTCAAAGCGTAGATGACATCCATGGCCGCTTACACTTGGCATTTACAGTGTAGGATCTCATTTTCCAGGAATATATAAGATCTTTTCCTCCTTTGCCACGACCAGCCATTGTTGTTTGTTAGGTAGAAGAGTGGACTACCTAACCTGCCATAACCTTCCTACTGCTGCTATTGCTGCTTCTGCTGCCTGCAAACCACACCGTCCGAAGCGATAATGATCTGATGCTAGACCAAGTGGTACTCACTTATGACGACTGGGTTTGGGAAGAACGTTTATTTTATGAAAACAGTGATAAAATTATCCCTTTTTATTTGCACATTGAACAATGCTTTACATTACAACTTTTTCAATAGTTTTTTGTTAAAAATCATAAGCCGGAAGCATTGTTATCGATGCGTAGAAATATTTCTGATCGATTGGTGCTAAAATTATTGAAATTGGTCCAGTGGCGGCTAAGTTATTAATGTTCAAAAATTTCATAATTTTGTTACATAGGTATTTACCGGTATTTGCTATTGTAATAAATTTTATATGGTTGCCAATTTTGAAGGCGAAAACTTAATCTTTTGGACTAATGGCCTTTCCCAGGAATGTTGCATGAAATGTCCGGGAAATGATTGAATTAGCGGAATAACGTCCAATAAATGAAGAACGAAGCTACTCCGGAGGAAGTTTGAAAAAAGTTCTAAAAGAAGTTTGAAAACAGACGGATTAACATTGCACGGAAAATGTTGAGAAGCTTCAGGGGAAAAATTAAATAAACTTTCGGAAAAAACGGCTGACGCTTCCAAAGGAAGCCATACCCAAGTAACAATTTTGGTTTTATGAGGGTTCTGTAGACCATGATTTAGATTTGTAGAATGCTATAAAACCGCGATAAAACCTGCAATGTTACTTGGGATAAAACCTTTCAATAGAAGTCGGACAGCTCATGGATAAACTTCCAGAATAAGAATAAAGGAACTTCTGGGAAAATTTGGTAGAAGTTTAAAGGAACTTCCTGGAGAAGATGGAAGAACAATTCCGAGGTAGTTTGTAAGAAACATATGAAAAAAGCCGGAAGCTTCTCCGGGGGGAATGCCAGAAGGTTGTCGGGCCAGTCGAAAGAAATAAATTTCCGGTGGACATCGGAATCTTTATGTTAAGTTAGCACAATATTCCGGGGAAGTTGAAACCAACTAGGGGGAGAAACGGCTGAAACTTTGGAGTAAAGCCGGAAAAAGCTTCCAAAGGAAGTCGGAATAACTTTCCGGGGCATTGGAAAATAACTCAAGGTGAAAGAAAATTTCAGAGGAAAGTAGAATGAAACTACCAAAGCAAGATTAAATAAACTTCAACATTTTAATAAATGATCATTCTGAAGTACCTTTATGGTCACGAAAAAGATTAAAGTATTTCTCGATTCCCATCAAACTACCAGGATGAGACATCAGCTGTTTCTCGATTCCTGAGATGATATATGATGATGATAGTGGTCTACCACGGAAACTGGTCCGATAGCAGTGGGCTCTCCTCTCTGTTGAACTTGATCAAACTTAATAACCTCTGATTGTCATCAGCAAATCACTGTATGGAACGAATGGATGGATTGATAGGCAATTCGCTTATTAATTTCCTTGGAACAGTTAAGAATCTCCTTTCAACAACTTGATCAGCCAATTGGTCAGAAAACGAGCCATCCAACAGAAAGATGCCTCAATGAATGGGGAGAAGAGCCCGCCCTTTATCCACGAAATGTTATCAATAGGAAGTTGACATCTTCACTCTCCCCATAAAATTTACTTCAATTGGGTGCTCTGATGGTATCTCTTCATCCAGATTTTTTATATATAGTAATATGTTACATAATAATCAGATAATCAGAAGCATAACGTCTGCAAAATATGCGAAATATAAGAACCGTAGATGCATAAGAGCACCTGCACCAATGCGTTGCTATTTGGGCTGCTAGTTCGACAACTCTAGCCATTGCTATTTTAGGTAGCAACTTATTTACGCACCGGTCGTTGCTATACGTTTTCGGCTTTTGCACCAATTGCTGCTAAACTTATCATCGAACTTCGAACTGAAATTGATCATAAAGTTTCGTGATTGTTTTTTTCGACAATATTGATATACCTAACCACGAAGACTGAAGATTGAAGGTTAAGATCCAACTACAGACCCAGGTACTCAAGAAACGGTTCTCCGTAAGATCCGACCAGCGATTTTTTTTTAAATCACTTGTTGTGATGCTACATGAATGAATTTTAATCTGGGACCAACATGCGCACACTGGTGGTCACGCAACTATCCTCTGGGAGACCCGGAACATTCATAAAAGTGGTCAATTCGTAAAAATCGATCTTCGTATGCTCATCTTCTAAACGTTGCGCACCAAAATGCATAAACGCATTTTCGGATGCCCATCTGGATTGCTAGATCCAGTGTTGGCAAAATCATCAATCAAATCAAGACCAACAATTGAAATGGCCTTAACTCCATTTTGTAAACATACCTTGTAAGGCCATTTTCTCGCGAACAGAAACCTTCATTCGCAAACCTAAACCACAATCGGGTAGAGGAGAATTTCCCCTACCTGTTCATTATGTTAGTTTGCCTTTGCAGACTTCGGTTCGCGAGAAAATGGCCTTACAAGGTTTGTTTACAAAATGGAGTTAAGGCCATTTCAATTGTTGGTCTTGAAATGATATTTTTCCGCTCTCATACGCTCTCAATATCACACGTGATATTGGAACAAAGTGTTATGCTTGATATTGATTTTACAAGCTCCTTTGATATTGCGAGACTATTCACAACGTGCAAAAATCAAGCTGAGAGTTGACTCGACGCAAAAATGATTCCGTTGCACATCGTTTTCTTAGAAAGAGAAAGTATAGTTTGTTATCTCTTTTTACTCTTCACCGATGGCAGACACGAAGGGACTGCTGCGCAATTGTTTGGGTTGCGTTCGGGTGCAAAGCAAAACTCATTAAACTCAATCTCAACACAGTTTGGTGAGTTTTGTTAGCTTGATATTCCGAGCTGCGATATCACAGCTTGCAAAATCAGCCGCAGTTGTTTGCTTGTTGATTTTTGTCTACGAAAATCAAGCGTGAATTTGAAACCTTTAAGAAGTTCTGATTGACAGAAATGTAGAGGAGTTAAAAGATCGTTAAGAGTAAGTTTCGACAGCTGCAGGGCAATCTACTAGATTTCAGGAAAATTTACTTCAGCGAAGATTAAGAGCTTCAGGACAGTTCCATTAAATTCAGCTTGAAGACCTATGAGCAGGCATGGAAAATCATTTGCATAAATTTCATACATTAATTTACATTCATTTACCTCTAACTTTTTTCTTCAACAACATTCCAAAAAACAATGCATAGAGCTTTTGTAGATTTTATTATTAGCTAAAACTATTGTTAACAAGTCAAATCCGTATCTCTAATGCATGACGAAGCAGAGCGAACAGAAGACACTACTGTTTTTCAGTGAATGTAATTTACATTCACTGAAAAACAGTGACAAGTTCTGCCCGCTCTAGTTCGTGATGCACAAGAGATACAGATTTGAGTTATGAGCAAAACTTGTAGCTAATAACAAATCCTACAAAAGCTGTTTACATCATTTTGCGGAATGCTGTTGATGAAAAAAGTTAGAGGCAAATGAATGTAAATGAATGTATGAAATGAATGCAAATGATTTTCCATGCCTGCCTATGAGTAAGTTATGTCAACTTCGGGTGAGTTCTGAAAATGTTAGGGCAGTTTCATGAATATCAGGAAACCTGTGGGAACTTTAGGGACGTTCCTAAAACTTAAGGTTCGTTTCGAGAACTTTATGGCAGTTCCATTTATTTCAGTAAAATATAGGATTTTGTTATTATTATTATTATTAATTTATTTGATAAGGCTCAACCCAATTAACATAACAGAGCCGAGGATTCTTGTTCACTATACAATACATCTTTAAACTATAGTCAAAAGGTACAATACAATAAACATTTTATCTTCCGTTATCCGCTAAGCCTCCTCTACCAGAACGGGAACCACTTCCAGTGGTTTACTTGTATGGCAGATTTGCCAACGATGGTCAGAGCGCTTCCATTGTAGCAATGGACGCAAAACGTGGTCAGCACTCACACATTCATCACGAAACGGTTGCTTTGCAAAGTCGACGATGCATCGACCGAAAAAAAACTGCTGATGAAGAACAATGAGGAGGACCTTACAATGGTTGCTGCCGAATAAACAGACGATCGCGTGACACACATTGAGAGTGGTTTGCTTCTGTCGACAGCCGAGTCAACACTGAAATAAGGGATTTAAGGATAGTAAAAAACTTCAGGGAATTAACTTAAAAGCATTAAGAAAGCTACACAGAAGATCCATGTTTAAAGGGAAATTTAAAGATCTTCTGGGCAGTTCCATTAATTTCTGAACAATTCCAGGAACATCATCAGCAAAACATAAAGAAAGTTCCGTAAACTTAAAGAAACAATTAGAGATTTTCAGGAGAGTCTGAGGAATGAAAAGGAGTATCGAGTATGTCAGGAAGTTTCATAGGCAAACTGCAGGAACAAATGGAAAGTTCCTCGAAATTTCTGGAAATTTTTGTGAGCTTCTTCAGGCAAACTTCAGGATTTTTAAAGTGGTTCCAAAAGCTTTAGGAAACTGTTGGAACTTTTAATAAAATTTGAGAAAATCAGGGATATCCAGAGAACTTTAGGGGAGTCAAAATAATTTCAGATGTGTGGAGATAACTTGAGGAAAATTTACATTTTAAAGAACTTCCAAGTACCTCAAAGAAGTAAAACTAGAGAGCTTTAAGGAATTTCAGAGATATTAACGGCTCTTCCAATAACTTCATAACTTCGAGAATTTCAATAAATTCCAGACTTTCAGGGAAATTCGAAGATTTTTATGCGAAAACTTCGATAAATTTCGGTCAATTCAATAAAATTCAGAAAAACTTCGAGAATTTTTTGACAGTTCTATTTAGTTCAGGGTAGTACCAAGAACTTTAATAGAATTGAGAGTACTTCAGGAATGGAAAAAAATAAATAAATAAACTAAT